ACAGTTTATTTTCTCGCTTGTGGAACTCCCTTCCGGCTTCATGCTTTCCAACCAACTTTAATCTTCAAAAATTTAAATACAAACGCAATCGCTGCCTACTGTCCTCCTGATTACTCTTTCCTCTTCCCGCTCATTATTAATGTTTCTGTTCCTAATTCTTCCACGCCCAGTAATCCCTTGTGTCTTTGTGGTTTTTCTACCTTGCATGGGGTGAAGTCGATTAATATATATATATATATATATATATATATATATATATATATATAATCGACTTCACCCCATGAAAAAAAAAAGAAAGAAGAGGAACAAACATTTTTTCTTTCTTTCCTTCTTTAATTCTTATTTTTCAAATGTTCAAACAACAAAAGAAGCGTTAAAATTCATTGTTTAACAAACGTTTTTTGCATTGACAAGCCCCAGGAAGAATATCCTGAGGGTGAAATACCCATCTTATTGGGGTAATAGAGTTTCATTTATATGTAATTCATTTATATACTCTATAATAAATATATTATATATTGAGCTCTCTTTTATGGATCAGTTTTAATATTTTATATTATTAGTATATAGTTGGATTAATTATCCATGGATTTTTACACACACACGCACACACATATATATATATATGGATAGAAATGTAAAAAGAAGACTGAAAACAGCTACACCTAAAATGTATAGACAACAGAAGTGTTTAATACAAAATTCAAAAGCGAATATGTAGAGCTAAGTTATTTAAGAAAAGGTTAAAATGCCAATCTACCTCGCAATCCGGGTTTCGACCGTAAGGTATCCTCAGGCAACGATATATATATATTTTAAATTCATATTTGTTGTATCCTTAAAAAGGTTACAAACAGACAAAGGTAGCATTCGAGTGGAAGGAACAGCAACACAGGCGTAGATGAAAGAATGGGAGCTATTGTAAAAGAGAATACACTACTGAAAGACAGGAAATCGACTAACACTTCCCGAAGCCAGTCAGAGAGACAGGCTCTGGTATGTCCTACATATATTACCGATATAGTCAGTCCACAATAGGTAATAGGGAGAGTGGAACATTCCATTACGACAATATATTTTAATTTTATGATCGAGAAAAATGTCTTCGATTTCTGTCGAATTAATAGACTTTAAACTTGAATTATAGGTAAAAGGACTAAATAATAATAATAATAATGATAATAATAATAATATGTCGATAGGGATATTGAGGAGAGTGCAAGTAATTTGAGGAGACTTGTTGTCACTTGCTATCCATTCACAGCTTCTGATGCAAAATTGTAAATAGCAATAAAAATAATAATGAAACTGTTAATCGTGTCGAAAACAGTAGGCGTGCCTGGAATCATGTCAAAAATTCAAGAATCGTGATTAGATGTAGTAAAAAATAAAGTGATGTTATTGAGCTTAGCAAGAATGCTGAGAAAGGTTCGGGAGATTTGTTGAGATATGTTGCCACTCGATCTCAAAAAAAAAAAAAAAGAAAAAAGAAAAGAAAACAATTAAAAACACATTCCGCTTGATGTGATCGAGCAAAAATAAAAACATAAAATCCCAAAATAAGAAAAATAAAAAAACTATTAATAGAATTTTATTTTTTAAATAAAATTGTCGTTATTAATTTTTTCTATTTTTTTTTTAACAAAACCTTCCTGAAAATAATAATTAAAATTAATAATGGTTATTTTATAAGCGTAGCTTACATGTTGCACATGGCCGAAAGCATAGGACACCTAGTGAGAATCGAAGTCACTTTTCAGTCTTAACTGTTCTAGCGAAGTGCACTTGATTTTCTAAGTGTAGCTTAGATAGGGCACCAGGCCGAATCTATGGGGCACCTAGTGAGGATCGAACTCACTAACCTAGCTAGACAAGCTTGCTAACCATTACACCCCGTCAAAGTGCCCACATTCTAATTAATAATGTTAATACTTTTATTTAAGAAATCAGGACAACTTTAAGACTATTGCTTTTACTCTTCCTAGAAAGTAAACAAACAAAATGGCACAAAGAAAATCGGACAAAAAATGGATATAGCTATTTGACCGCTGATAGGCTTCTGTTGTTAAATCCAGCTGTTTCCCATTTATTTATAAATGCAGAGACCACACCGAAGTTACCCGAAGTAGAGAGGAACGTAATATTAGATTAGTTGGAGCCAGAGTCGGAACAGTTATCTCCAGCATGGCTGAAGAGCTCTTTCTGATGCCTCCCCCCCCCGCCTCTAAACACACACACAAAGACCACCGCGCAAGAAAAATTAAGGTTATCTAAAGTTATAATTTGAAATGACATTTTAGTCAGCTTGGCTGAAAATAGGTACAGGGAAGTGGTATCCTGAACAATTCTGACAAAACACCAAGGGAAAAGTAAGATAAAAAAAGACACCTGTTTACTATAAACAGGTGAGGAATACATTCAGCAATCAAATAGTAAAACAATTGATGGACAATTTTTTTTTTTCCACAAACAGATCTGTAAAGGTCGGAAATGAATATTTAACGTTTTTGTTAGGTTGGACCAATATCGACATTCGACGGAAGAAGATATGAGACTTGTATCGGATCGCTATGCTGCAATTATCAAAAAGCGCAGTACAAATGCAGAAAAACGTGCACTTTTTTTTATTAGACTACGCAAAGGCGTTTGACAAAGTACGCCACAAAGATCTGTTCGAGTTGCTCAGCAACCTTGATATATTCGGGAAAGACATTAGAATAATCGAAAACCTTTACTGGCAGCAAACTGCCTGCATGAGGATAAAAAAACCCCCCAAAAGCGAGTTCAGTAGATATAGAAATGGGTGTAAGGCAAGGATTTGTCTTCTCACCGAACTGATTCAATCTATACAGCGAGGCAATTCTGAGAGAACTGGAAATCCTACCAGGATTCATCACGGGCGGCTACAATCTTAACAACATAACATACACAGATGACACAGTGCCGATAGGAGACACGGAAAGGAAACTACAAAACCTTCTACAGAAGGTAGCGAAGGAGAGTGTGAAGAAGGGACTAAGCATAAACTACAAGAAGACAGAATTCATGGTCATCAGTAAAAAGATTAGACCGAAATGCGATTTATGGTCGGAACACTAAAACCAAGCAGGAACGGAAATTTAAATATCTGGGAAATGTTCTGCCAGAGGACAGTATGTGCAACGATGAAATCCGAAGACGTATTTGGATGGCCAAAGACGCATTCCAAAATCAAGGCAGTGTATTAAGAGGCGGGAGGGTTTCGTTGGTAACAAAGAAAAGAGTAGTGAGCTGCTACGTGATATCTGTCCTCCTTTACGGCAGCGAATGTTGGAAGGTCTCCTCAAAGATGAAGAAGAGACTCGGGGCAACGGAGCTATGGTTCTACAGAAGGATGCTAAGGATATCATGGACCGAACATGTAAGCAACGATAAGGTTTTGGAGAGGATGTAAACAAAAAAAGGAAAGTTATACTTAACATCAGGAAGAAGTAGCTGAAATTTCCAGAACACGTAATGAGAAAGGAGTGCTTGGAAAATCTGATACTCCCAGGGCGGATAGAGGGAAATAGGGACAAGGGAAAGCAACGCGTGATATATTTAACGGGCTTAAGCAAGTAGATGACAGAACAGGGTTTGGGAGAAATAACAAAAAGATAAAATTTATTGAGAACCAAAAGAGAAGACAAGTAGGTAAGTGAGGCGTTTTAAACAGTCACCTGTCCCGTCTTATTTGGAATGACGTAAAGACGTTGAGATCATCCCACCCCCCAAAATAAACCTCCCCACCGTGCGGCGAAATGAACCGAATGATTTTTGCCTAAGTGCTTCTACCAAGGGGGGAAGAGAACAAACCTGAAGAAAATGGTAACCCCTCAATTTGGTCCACTTGATATCAACGATCAACTACTTATTTACTCGTACATTTCATTTATGCGTTTAGCATTATTATTATTATTAGTAGCAGTATTATTAGTATTAGTATTAGTATTATTATTATTAGTAGTAGTACCATCATCATCATTATTATTGGTAATAGTAGTATTAGTAGTAGATCATCATTATTATTATCATCATTGTTATTATTATGAATAGTAGTATTAGTATCATCATTATTATTATCATCCTCATTATTATTATTATTAGTAGTAGTATTATATTTATTATCATTATCATCATTATTATTATTAGTAGTATCATCATCATTATTAGCAGTAATATTAGTAGTAGTATCATTATTATCATCAACATTATTATTATTAGTAGTAGTATCATCATTATTATCATCATCATCATCATTAATAGTAGTAGTATTATTATTATTAGTAGTAGTATCATCATTATTATCATAATCATTATTATTAGTAGTAGAAGTATTATTATTATTATTATTATTATTATTATTTCCTTTGATTTCTGTTGTATACACATTTCCTTCCGAGTCCCAACCAGAGACCTAAGGACAGAAATGGCTTCATGACATTTTCCGCTGATCATTTTTGTAAAACACAGAAAAGAAGGAGCCTATGATCAGACACATTTTACGTAAAGATCTTCGTAAGATGTGAGTTGTAACTGTGAGTATATATTTTTTTATTTCTTTAAGGGATGGACTACCAAGAATCCCTTCAATGAGTAACCTTTTCTAATCAATCCGAGGGCTCCAACTACAACTACAATCATTGATATCCTCATGGGAACACATTTTTGAGATTTCCATTTCATGATCCTTGTATTTTGATAATTTTTTTACAGATTTACAAAGATACATTATAATTTATAGGGACTACCATATCAATAAGAAAGCACATTCTGTTTTTGTGGTCATTGATTAAGCTGTCTGGACGATTAGCTTTCATTGTTCTGCCTGTGTGTATTGTAAAGTCCCACAAAACTGTTACATGTCCGATCTCTGTAATCTGTGATTATTATTAATATTATTTAGTTTTCCTGAATTGCTTCTTGATACAATCCTTTACGAAGTCTTCTATCTCAGACCTAAGTTAAACGAAGGGGGCTTATGGCGGTATCACGTTGAAACACCGGTTCCCGTGCAATCACCGATGTCAAGTAAACGTCGAACCTGGTCAGTACCTGGATGGGTGACTGCTCGGGAATACTAGGTGCATTAAGCTTGGATGTGCAGTTGGTGTAAGGGATAATGGCGCAGAATTGTTAATCAGAAAGCCGAGTTCCAATTCCAGGCGCTTTCTTTATATTCACTTACTCACAAATACTCTTGAAAGATCTATGAGTCTACCTCTTCTACCCCCAGGTATGGGTTAATTAGTAAGACTTGTATCATTAAATCATTATTACCTAAAAATATTCTTACAATCTAAAAATATTTTCTGGCTTTAAATAATCTGCAAAGGGCTGATAAGCCGTAAAATAAACGAATCAATCAATCAATAAAAGAAGATTTTTATTAGTAAGTATACACTCAGGTAAAAAATGTGTCAAGCAGTTTATACTTTGACACAATGTTAAGTGGGTCGTACTAGATAAGAACAAGACTAGATATTCTTAGACGTGGTCAGAGGAACGAAAACAGTTTAACCCCGTTGAATAAATAAAGGGTTCAGCTCGAAATTCTTTGAAGGTTACCCGGATTGACAAGCACCTGATGAAGGCCGAAGAGCACGTCAACCGAAACGTTTTGACAGCAATAACAAGGATGAGATTAATTGCATGTAAATAGAGTATATAAATATCAATTATGTTAGAGGGTAAAAAAAGAGTAAAATAAATAAACTTAGTGATGTTTGTAAAAGTACACCGTAAATTGTGTTATCGACAATGACTCTTAGGCCCTGCAATGGCATTACAATCTTCTCTAGGAAGAGGACACAAAAAATTATGTTGATTTATTATTGTATCGCACATTTCGCGATTTCACTTTTCTAGTTTTTCTACAAGTATTATTTCTACTTGCATCATTTACATTATTCTGACTGTTATGCTCATCTTCATTGCCATATTCACAACGTTTCGGCCGTTGTACGCTCAGGCCTTCTTCAGATGATTGGAATTTCGAACCGGAATTCGTCTACTGGGGTAGATTCCAATCACCTAAAGAAGGCTGGAGTGTAGAACGTCCGAAATGCTGTGAATATGGCAATGAAAATGAGGATAACAGTCCGAATAATGTAAATAATTCAAGTAATCATAATACCTCATCTCAGAGATATAGACAGACATTATATCACTAGAAGCTAGTCACTGGATCTAACCAACGTCTTTATCCACTGCGCCAAGTGTCCTTGGGAATATGGCAATGAAGATGAAGATAACAGTCCGAATAATGTAAATAATGCAAGTAATCATAATACTTCATTTGAGAGATATAGACAGATAAGTATTTCTACATACTTTATTACAAATTTTGGTGGGATAATTTTGTGGCATGTAGTCAGTTAGGGTTTTACTGTATGCCGATGCATATCGCTGGTTGGATTAGCTTGAGAGAAGTAGGGACAGTTAAAACTATCGCACTCGGAAAGTATATTGTCATAATCCATTTGCTGATCCTTTTTATGGCTTCTTTTGCCTTTGCACGACTGCATTTGCTTTATTTAAAGAGTTTTGCTCCCTCGTAAATATTCCTTAGTCCATTTAATCAATAAGTAGCACCATGTTCGCAATTATCCTGATTGGTTTTAAAAGCTGTGAATAATTTGTCTATTGAATCTTTAAAACGCACTTTTGCATTGTGTTGTGCACATTCAGTTCATGAGGAGGCGCGGTGGAGTAATGGATAGCGGGTCGGATTGAGGAATCGGAGAGCCGAATTCGAATTACATTCACTTACGTGCTAATACACTTGGGAAAGGTATGAATCCTCTTCTTCTCCCCCCCCCCAGCTATGGGCAAATAGCAGGACAAACCGCGTTCTATAGCCTTGTATGGCAACTGGTCTACCGCAGAAAGAAATGGCAACCTACTGCGGGAAAAAATCTGCCTCTTCAGAAAGACACATGCTCGCCTACGCGTGTATCACGCATGGCACATAATTGACTGACCTGTCCATACAGAACGCTTTGTTGGTATGTACATACTCTCTGATCAAATGACACATGTAGATTCTTAGATGCAGATTGTGATCTCTGTCTCTCTCTCTCTCTCACACACAGACACATTTTTTTACACGACAAATAACCTATTCATCTGGTTACGTAGGAATCATAATTATTCAATAATGAGGAGAGTGCTATTTGTTTAGTTCAATATTTAGGAAGTATTGAACATAAACAAAAAATATAAAGTCTTTGATATTAAATAACTGTAATGCAAATGGTAGAATTACTGAAATATTGTATTCGTTTTTTTACGCAAAATTAATCTAATTATTATCATAATGCTGGAGCCCAAATTAAATAAAACAAAAGCCAGGAAAAAAAAATCACTCGCATTGTGATCTTGAAAATAATCAGCCAATACAAGTTACTGAAAATATTACATAAAAATAGAAAAGAAAAAAAGTGTCAAATAGTGGATTTCTCTATTTCTGCAAATGATTGAGTAAATTTGAAAAAAGTGAATAAGAAAAAATATCACCATTTTGCGGGTGAACTGAAGTTTTTAATCGGTAACCCCTCCTTCAAGGCATTAAAGCCACTAAAACGCAAGGTGTTACTGCATGTGGTAGATTTAGGAACAGAAACATTAATGAGCAGGGGAAGAAAAAGACTAATCAGGAGGATAGTAGATAGCGATTGAAATTGCATTTAAATCTTTGCAGATTAAAGTTGACTCGAAAGCATGGAACCGGAAAGGAGTTCCACAAGCAAGAAGTGCGAGAAAAGAAACACTTAGCATATAACTTACGGCTACATCTCGCCAGTTCGACTATATATTGATGAGATCTCGAAGCCAGTCTAGTACTGCGCTTAAATTAAAAAAAAATCTAGGTTCCATAGTGAACAGCTCACCCGAAAAATTACCATGAAAGTATTTATAGAAAAACACAAAGAAGCAATCTTACAGCGGTGTGAAGTGACTGAATCAAGACCAATAATATTGCTGATACTTCTTTGGATCTTATGAAGGAGCTCAAGATAAATAGCAGGGGCACAGGATCATATGCGGCAGCGATATTCTAAGCATGGACGAATGGTAGACTAATAGATATGTAAGATAGATTCTGGAGAGAAAAATTGTCTTGCATGACACAGTGAATTGGCTTTCATAGCAGCTGATCTAGCAATGAATTCAATGGTCATTTTACTTCAAGTGTGCTGAGAACGTTGGCTCGAGAAGGAGCAACGAGTTACTTTCCTGGAATAATTATGGAATATTATGTAATAGCCATCAACACAGGCCTTGTGAAGAGATTGGGAAAATTAAAAATCCAGAGACTAATCGAAACGTTTTAGTTACGCTGAAAATAGACGATGGTCAAGTAACACCTATTGCCTATGTCTCTCCTAACCGAGTGATGAGTGAATCCTAATGGATTTAAACTAACTTCACGCCATTATCCCTGATAGTAACAGTGCTTAACGCCATGAATCCTCTTGAGAATGATAGTGGAGTGGTTTCACGTTGCCTTCTCCACGGTAATTTTTTGAGACACTATCTCTAATTAGCGGGCCGTTGACTCATCAAGAGTTCTTTTGCCCTTTGATAGGTCTTATTTTTCATCATACAGGGTTGCTAATCGCTTGTCTCACTAGCAATAAATTGGGCCGAAGGAGTCGGTTTAACCGAATCATTCAAGAAAAGATTTCATTCATATATATATATATATATATATATATATATATCAGTATTAACTTAATTAAAGTTCAAATATTTTTTATATAAGTATTTATTAAATATATTTTTTCTAAATGTTTTTATATATAGATATAAATTATATATATATATATATATATATATAAGTATTAACTTAAAGTTCTAAATGTTTTTATATATAAATATTTTTAAATAAATATATTTTTTTCTAAATGTTTTTATACATAAATATAAATTATATATATATATATATATATATATAAGTATTAACTTAAAGTTCTAAATATTTTTATATATAAATATTTTTAAATAAATATATTTTTCTAAATGTTTTTATACATAAATATAAATTATATATATATATATATATATATATATATATATATATATATATATATATAAAAAGTATTAACTTAATTAAAGTTCTAAATATTTTTTTAATTCAAGTTAAATCTCTTACCTTGACGTTTTCGAGTTAATAGCGAGAGAGGAAAAATTAAATGAGGCAAATCGTTCGCGGCCAATATCAGAAACTTGAACTAACAAAAGAATTTTTCTCTTTCCTTGTGGTGGTTCGGGAGGCTAGTGTTGGAGTGAACGGGACAAATGCAAATTATAACAAATAATCATTAGGGTATCAAGTCACTTTCAAAAGAAAATAAATAAATAAATTCTAAGCAATTTATTTTACTAAAGCTAATACAAAGACGTGTTGTAGTGTAATGGATATCAATTCGGGATGAGAAATTAGAAGACAGAATTCCAGTCGGGTTCGTTATAGTCACTTAGACGCAAATACTAATGGAAAAGGCATGAATCCGTCTTCCCCTACCTACACACTGTGCCCTATAGCTTTGGTTAGCAACCAGTCTACGACAGAAATAAACGGCAGCCAACTGCGAGAAATCTCCTGCCGAGTCAGACATGAATCGAAAAGAGACATGATCGCCCAAGCATTTATAAGGTATGACACTTAACTGAGTGACTGAAAAAATACCTTAGAATTGACCCTGGCAAGGAAAAGTATGAACGACAGATGTCACCGGACCGTCATGCAGCAACTATTCGCATCATAAGAAATGGTTTTCGAAACATAGACGTCTGAACATTAAATCAGTGTGGCCAGTTAGAAAATATAAAGCAAGAAATGATTAGGTTAAATGTTAGTACTTTAAGCGTATGCAAAATTAGGCGGACAAATAATAGAAATTTTGTCATTGACAAACACAGGCGGAGAGGAGATAGAGGAGTAGGACTAATACTAGCCCAAGATATGAAGAAATGTGTCCAGGGATGCTGTCAATTATCTGATATGATTCTTATAGTTAAACTGAAATTGGAACTTTTTAATATATCCGTTGTTGGTGAATATGCACTGACAGCATAAAGTA